TAGTCTGGTCTTGAGGTTGGGACACTCAAGTCGTTGTCGTGTCAATGTATGAAGACCTTCAGCTCAAGAGAAGAAATCACCCAAACAGGTCTTCTTGTCAAAGAGAATTGAAATGATTTGAGACTGGTTTGAATATCTATTTATCAAACGCTTGAAATCATGACTTCCTCATGTCATCATCATAAAGAGCACTTTAAAGCTGTTCAATGTGCATCCTGAGGTCAAAAGCCTGCTTCCACGCCGCGTGCCGTGGTTTGCTGTGCTTCACCTGTGTGTTCAACGCTTTTTTCTAGAGGACACTCACTGAACTTGCAGACATGTTGCCTTGCTACTAGGAGCATTCTTGCTACTAGGAGCAAAGGGCATCGCTACTAGGAGCAAGGACGCTACTGACTAGGGGCTCCTGGCCTTACTACTAGGAACAAGAGGACGCTACTAGTTGCTCTGCAAGACACTTGTTGCCTTCTTTCGAACTGTTCCTCTGAGCTGTACCTTGGTTTGCCCCAGGTACGGGGGCTTCTGCTGGTTGCTGCTGAGCGCCAGCTCATCGTTGAGGCACCACGACAAGGAAGCACATTTAAGTGAACGGCGCATGATCAGTTCGCTCTTGACTCACAATGATTCAAAGTTCAGAATGAAGTTCGAACAGTTGCGTTTCAATAGCCTCCCCTCCAAACACCTCCAAACCCAGTCAAGGCATCAGCTGAGATCTGGAAAGCGTTGGAGGCTATGGAGGCTTGACCTGACCATACCTGACCCTGTTCGCAGCATCGTCGGTCTAAGCAGGGATCAAAAGTGCCGAACACCCCTTCTTGTTACTCACAAGTGTAGTCTCACCAGTGACAATGGTATTGCTACTTGAGACCTTAGCTCTCTTAGCTCTTCTGGGTCTCTTAGGCATCTTGGGTTTTGGCCTTCTATGGCCTTGCAAGAACCTTGCTCCGTCGGCCTTCTGGGTCTGGAATGATGCCTTTCTCAAGACCAATACACAAATCCTCCAGATCTTCTGGACAATTCTCTACCAATTCAAACAGCAATTCAAGACATCACAAGAAAAATAGAAAGCAGTCTATGGATTCCTCACTGTAATCGGACTTTTCTCTTTTTTTTTCTTACTATATATTTCTTTTGGTTTCTAGAAGCGACTCAGCGATGGCTTCCAACCCAGTGGCCTCCAAGCCACTTGAGGCGCCGGAGTATCGCCCGGTGTCGAGGCGGCGCCTGGATCCTCGAAGACCGCGACGGCAGCGGTATCGACGGAGGCCGCGGAGGCCGCCGAGGACGCGGTCTTCGCGTTTTCGGAGAATTCTTGCTACTAGGAGCAAAGGGCATCGCTACTAGGGGCTCCTGGCCATACTACTAGGAGCAAAGGGCCTTGCTACTAGTAACAAGAAGCTAGTAGAAACAATAAGCAATTGGAATTCAAGTATAGTTTCACTAGTAGTTTCACTGTAATTATCATTTTTGGATGACATATGATAATTGAACAATAAACTAGGAGCATTCTTGCTACTAGGAGCAAAGAGCATCGCTACTAGGAGCGATCGGACGCTACGTTCGGGGCTCCTGGCCTTACTACTAGGAACAAGAGGACGCTACTATTTTTGGTTACAATCTAATTTGGTCACTGAAAGTGGCCTTGGGCCAACTTTGCCCTTAACAGCAAGAGCTTGATTGTTCCAGGACACTTTCTATGCTTTGGACTGGGATGATGGCGATGTTGATGAAGCCAAGGACCGGCCATTGGTCGCTATCGGCCCTCTTGAACTCCGAACTGTCATGAAAGTTGCACGATGTGCTCACGATTGACAGTTCGAACACTTCTACTCGCGTTGTTGTCTTGCGCTCTTGGGGTGTCTTGGGTTTGTGCTCAGTCAAAGACCTTACAGTAGTAACAAGTGCCACGCTAGTAGTAACAAGTGCCACGCTAGTAGTAACAAGTGCCTTACTAGTAGTAACAAGAAGCTATTACACACCCTGACATTTCCTTTTGTCCTTTCGTACAAGAACACGTTGCACCGTCTCTTCTTGAATATGAATACGCCAACTTGGCTTTTGGCGTTGGACTTTCCGTTTGAGCAACACCGCTTAAGATTTTTTTACTTTGACCTTTGAGTTTGGTCTCCTGTCTCAACTATCCGCTACTACTTGGCACACAACGCTTCGTTGAACAACGAGGGTGAACTGCATGTCGCTTCCGTTCAGGACGTGGCAGTCCCAGCAGCTCGCTTCCGTTCACGCGAAGGAGGGTCTTGACACCTTGCCAAAAAGACAACTTACCCAATGCACAACAAGGACGTCTGCTTCCCTGCACCACCGATACAGTAGTTATATTCTTCGTACACACAAAGGTAGGGGTGGACCACAACTTCGTAGTGACAGTAAGGAATTGGACATGGCAGCGACATTACGAGATATTTTCCCAGTAGCACTACAGCCGCAGGCAGTGTGAGCCCTTCAAAAAGCAGGCAAGGCATTGCAATGATGGAGATGGCTCAAAGCTTTGACTGTTCAATGTTTAAACAAACACTCAAAATTTGCTAACCATTGTTGCCTGCAGGTCGAAGGCAGAAGGCCAGCGGACTGATGTTGTGCCACATGTGAACCAATGCGAGTGCTTGCAGGTGTGACATCCCAAACCGGTGCTACTTGGGAGGACTCAACATGCCGTGACTGGGAACACGTTGGCAGCTGGAAGACTGGGTACAATTCCTTGATTTGCATTTGGCATATGTTCCAGGACTTAGCCTTGGAACCTCTTCTTGGTTTCTCTCTACCAGTCCTATGTGACGCAGCTCGGCCGGATTGTTGTGACTGGGAGAATGAACACGTCCAGACAAGGTCACTGAGCCGGTCAAGATACCAAAATCATCCAAAATCCGTGAGCCTTCGTCTCATTGTCACCAAAAGGTGTTTGATTGACATCAATCTGAACCTGTGTCGATTGCATTAATAGGAGGCTTCATATGCTCAGGCAGTAGGAGGTCTTGGAGTCGACTACCCGTTGAGCTCAAGGAATGCAACTGTTCGCAGGTGCTGTGGAGAGTTGAACCCGCGCTTCCGCCAGCTTACTCGCAAGGCCGACCATGTTACTCGATGTTTCACGGTGAAGAGTGAGCTTTCCGGAGAGGCAACACGTTGAGGTTTGTGATGCCAACTGTTGAAGTTCTGAAGGTGAGGGAAGAATGCGATTCTAATCTAGTAATTCGGTTCCACTTATTTTAACAATAAGCTACTAGGAACAAGTGCATTGCTTCTAGTAACAAGTGCCTTACTAGTAGTAACAAGAAGCTATTAGAAACAATAAGCTTATTGATATTCGCCTTGGGGAGTGGCCGTAAGGGCTCCGGGCTCCTTCTTGTGAGAAACCAGAACATTTTGTTGAACACCAGCAGCGTCCTTGCTACTTGTAGCGATGCCTTTTGTTTCTAGTAGCTTCTTGCTACTACTAGTAATGCCGGGGGCTACTAGTAGCGTCCTTGCTACTACCACCATGGCCACTGTGGCCACTTAGCTCCCATGCTCGTTTTTTCAGTTGACATCTCTTGGTTTTTGGACGAAGGTTTGCGGCCATTGAAGCCGGGCTATGTGGAGGAGAGGATGTCAGAATCGAAGAATTTATTGGCCTGTTCACTTGCACTAATGACCTAGAGTAATTTTCTAACGCGGCGCGGGTCAACGGTTTTTACATGGTTTTACAGATTTGTGTGGTCATCGCCGTTGTTTTGACATGGATGTTCTAGATGAGTTTGCTTATGAAGCACTCTGTACCAAGAGAGGAGTCTGAAAATACCGGCATGATCTTCCCGCCAGTGCCAAAGCTTTATGCCTCGCACCCAAGCTTTCAGCTGAAAGAAGAAGGTGTTCTTCCACGAGAATTCTTGAAAGACTTTCGAGACTTTGTTGTTTTCATCTTGTCAAAAACCTGTTTTAGGCCAGTCCTTTCATCGTGTGGCGGACTCTTAGGAGCGACAGCCATCACCTGTGCAACGTCGCAAAGTGGAGGAAGGAGCTGTGAAAGAAACAGCAATGTTTGGAAGCTTAGAATTGTTTTGTCGCTCGCTACTAACAAGATGTAACAAGTGCATTAATCATTAGTCTATTAAATCTATTAGTAACAATTGTCTTTTCTTCTTTGTCTTTTGTTTTGCTTCTTTATTTGGGGTCTGTGAGCGCTTTGCACATTCCTCCTGAGTCCGACTGCGGACTTGGGTCTAGGTTCAAAGGTTTTAGGCGTTCTTGGCTTAGACTATGGGTTGGAGGCCATCGCTATCAGGTTGGAGGCCATTGCTTCTAGGTTAGTGTATTCTATGTATTGCTTCTAGGTGGTCTTGGCTTAAGACCAAGATTCCGTTGTCCAAGAGCAGTGCTTTGCGTCATCGTGCACTGAGACAGACAGCGATCGACAACTCCTTGCCATCCACGGCAGCTTCACTGCGATGGGGTTTCCTGGAGACTGAGACATGTGGGATGAGCAACGGGGGAACATTTTCAAGCAAGAATGCATAGAACATAGACAAAGACATAGACAAGACTTGTTTAATCATCTCTATTATTTTTGCTCTGTTATTAATTCATGGCAAAATGCATTTTGTTGTCTGAACAAAAGACAAGGCACCATGTTTGTGGGGCAGGAGCTTCCAGGCGGTGCAACACCGAATTTGGAGGCTCGTGCTCCGTGCCTCTGGTCGCCTCTGGAGGCGCCTCGTCCGCCCCCAAAGCGCCGCTTTGGCGCAGGTGATCGTGGCGCTGGTGGACATAGGATGTGAGGCGCCCCGCTGGTAGAAAGAGAGTCTGTTTAACAGGCCTCCAACCTACTGGAGAGCCGTAAACCAAGACGTTTCTGGTAGTTGCAGATAAGACATAAGGTCCTTTGCAAGCATTCGTGTTGATAGCAAGGGTGAGTTCAGTCAATTTCCCTTTTTGACCAGGATCGTCTCATGTATTTCAGCAACCAGCTTGTGGTCCAGCAGAAATATCTCACAAGGCAAGAGGACGGAATAAGCAACGGGCAATTGATTGTCAAGTCACCCTCTTTCAGGATAGATTGACAAACTCTTGAAGCCTTGCCCTCACTTTTTGAACTCCTGGAGTTCTGTGAACTCCTTTTGTCCTAGTAGGATGAGACAAGGATAGTTTCAGCAGGCTGACTGCTGACGACTGACATCTTTGCTGATGTAGAGCCAAACGCGTGTTGCATGGTGCCGGTCGTGCGTACCTGCTTGTACCTGATTCACTGGCCTTGTTGCACCCGTGACCTTGTGTTTCTTCGAAAGATAGAGAAGTAGAACGAGCCCACACGAGCCCATGACGGACCCATCCGCGAAGCTGGTGACCAATCCGCAGCGACTGCAGCTGGTCCTGAGCTTTTTGCCTGCAAATGAGGCCTTTGGCGCAGCTAAGGTCTCTCAGGCCTTCCGGAAAGCCCAAGAGCCTCTTGATGCAAGGGTCTTTCTGAGTCAAATTCGGCCAGAGACATGGCTGCATAAGAACGAGATGGACCAGGACTTCAACCGATGCTTACTGCGTGATTGGCACTTGTGCCTAAGGCACTCGGCGATGCAAGTCGCCTATGTGGACTATCGACAGCATCTCATTTACATTGAGCCCAGCTGCTCATTGACAGGAGCACCTCAAGGGAGCGATCCCTTTCCGGTGGCTGTGGACAATGAAAACTATCGCTGTTCCATCGAGCCCTTCAACTCGGATTGCTTGTGGTGGGACTGCCTTCAGGGAGAGCTTTTTGAATGGCCACGCAAAGCCGACAATTATGTGGAAGCCTTACCTCAACTTGACCCAGTCCCACCAGGTGCGGGCTATGTGCCAGTCGAATTGCCTGTCGAACCAGAGGCAGTGCCTGCCCCACAAGGTGCAGTATTTGCAGATCCTGAAGGGCCCGGCGACGTGCCAGTAGAATTGCCTTTTGAACTAGAGGCAGTACCTGGCTACCACGGGAGTCTGGCCATACCCAAGTTTCCCGATGATGTTATGGTGATTTTGTCTCTGAATGCAGCTTGGTTCAATTACAGCTTCTGGACACGGCAACTCCAAGGCATGTTCCTTCTGCGGGATGGCCGTTTCTTGCTCGTTGGAAGCTGTGAGATGCAAGGCACCATTGATTCTCAGGCCTCTGCCCGAGTATATCGCGGCTTTGTGGCCAACTCACTGGCATCTCTGGTGACCTTTGGCCAAGACCCGCGGAGCCGCGAGATCTTGCGAACCCGCGTGGTGGGACCCGATGACGCGAAGCCGAGTGTGAAGCCAACAGAGCTCTTGGTCAGCATCCCCCGGGTTCAAAGCGACGATGCTCAGGACTTTGAGAAGCGCTTTGGCCCTTTCCGACGTGCATCCAAGTCGTGTGAGAATGTCCTGTTTAGCACCTTGGAAGTGGATCAGGACGAGGGCCGCAAGAACCTCCAAGTTGGCGATCGAGTTCGAGTTGTGCGCCGAGGGGACACTTTCATTTGGAGCTCCTGTCGCGCTGAGGCTTGGGCCGCACCACAGGGAGCTGTTTCACCTCAGCTTGATACAAAATACCTGGAAAGAGCTTCCCAAGAGGATGGGCGCTTTACAACCTTCAGTGGTGGTTGCCATTTGGGATTACGCAGGGATCGCTGGTATGAAGCTGAAGTAGTCCACTTGAATGCTGACAACACCCTGGATTTGAAGTACATTCAGCCTAGAGAATGGTCGAATGGAGCCTCTGGCTTTACTGACGGGCAAGGGAATGACAGGAGCGACACACCCATTGAAGCCGATGTGGCCATCGAGAGAGCGAAAGTGCTACCAAAGAGCCGATGGTATTGGGCTTTCCAAGATGTTTGGGAATTATGTGGTGGCTTCTCATCTGTCAGCCTAAGCTTTGCTGATCGGGGTGGTCCTTCAGTCCGTTGCTTCGCGAACAGCAACTGTGGGGAGGCAGAGAAAGAAGCAGAGTCCAAAGCTGCAGAAGTTCCCTTTCTCAAACTGGCCGATGTCTTTGCCGACACTGCTGAGGCGCATCGTTTCAGATGTAAAACACTCTTTGAAGAGAAAGATGTATTCGACAGGAAGGACATTAAGGACATTGAGAAACTGTCGGCAGAGACAGTTTACACAGATGGCAGATTATACCCTCGAGGAGATCACATGGCCTTGTGCAAGCGCCTTTTCCTGCAGCTGCTCCGCACCTCCTTTTGGGACAAGTGGATAGCGCAGGGGGGCGAGAGCCCATCAAAGATCATACATTTATTTAAGAAAGACAAATTTGTGCGATTGATCATTCAATAAGACAGGGATACACGCTACAGAGACTTTAAAAAGCCTGTAGACTTCAGGAACTAGGCAGATTTGCTGGACATGCGCAGACGTTTGATGGGTGTTTTCATGTTGACATTGGTTAAGAACTCTCTAGTATCAACTATGTGCTTTGCTTTTTGGAGCTTGAGGCTGCATGTCAACGGCAAGCCAATTTCATCACCAGCAAAGGTGGATGTGCTGTACAGTGTACAGACCCGGCGCAGCTCATGACCAAAACACACTCTGAGCGAGGTCCATGCTTGAATTCAGTCGAAGCAGTTTCAACAATCACACGAACTGAACCAGGATCATCCAACAGGCTGGTTCAAACAAAAAGGGAACAAAGAACCATAAAGAAGAGACATGTCTAAAGGTCCAAGGAGAACAACGAACAAAGCAGACAAACTTCAAGCAGAGCAGAACAGAATCACATGGTTGCACTTTTGTTGCACTTTGCGCTTCACCAGCACGAACGTGGCACACACTGATACACGCACTGGTTGGAAAAAGGAACATGTGTTTTTTTGTTTAATGCAATTTTCACGCTACTAGGGGCTCCTGGCCGTACTAGGAGCAAGAAGCTACTAGGGGCTCCTGGCATCGCTACGAACGCAGTAAGGACGCTTGTGCTTCAGGTTCTCTTCAGGCCAACATCCTGGGACCACGGGATCCGCCCCAGCGAAGATTGCTGCGTGATCCGGACGTTGGTCGATCCAAGTGGGGTGGTCCGCTGTAGGAGACGTCGCATCCACGCGAGACGTGGGTTTTGCATCGCCTTTTGTCACGGTTGGTCAAGAAACCACAGAACTTAAGCCATCGTGTATATTAGTTGGAGGCCATGGCATTCGTTGTTTTCGATTTGAATAGAGTCGGTCGCCACGTGTTGTCGCCTTGAAGGTACGATGTGCTGGTGATTCCGCTGGAAGGTCCGTCTCGGTTCGGCATCATAGACCGTTGTGACTCAAGGTTCCTGAGCTAGCACCGTTTACAAAGCTTTTGTAAAGCAGGATGCACCATACTTTCAATTGCTTCACAATACTTTCAACAGGTTCTGTGGGACGTTGGTGGAATAATATTGTCCTGCAAAGTGAAGAGGAAGTGTTCATCGCTACTAGTAGCTTCTTGCTACTAGTAGCAATGCCCCTGTTACTAGTAGCGATGCCCTTGTTACTAGTAGTGTTCCGGTTTGTGTCAACCGAGCACTGCGTCTTCGTCTCAAGCTGCAACCGCATGGGTTGTGCATCGCATGGTGCTGTGCGGTGCGTGTGTGACGTGCTTTCCTTCAAACCCGAAAACCACCTTTTTTTTTGTTGGAGAAATTGTTGAGGCTTAGAATAACATGCCAGGTTGGTTGAGTTCATCCACACCAGAGCAGCTATGCATTGATTTGGTGGGTGCATTGCAGGCAAAGGATCTCAGACCAATACGCTCACATCTTGCGTTTGATTTTTGCTTTGGAAAGACCTGTGGAACCATCCGACAAGAAGCTACTAGTAACAAGGAAGCTACTAGGAACAAAGGGCATCGCTACGAACGGAGCAAGAAGCGACTAGTAGCGCTAGTAGCTCCTGGCATTAATTGATTACTACTAGTAACAAGGACGCTATTTGGAAAAACGGACAAATCTACCAGGCGTTGGTCACCGAGATGGGCCAAAGCCATTGACACAGCTGGGGTGGTCGGTTCAACGCTTTGGCACCTGTAACCCAGAAGATTGTTGGCAACCTCATTGGCACAAGGACGAATCGATACGAATTGTCACAAGTGGAAGGGATTGGAACGACACAGCCTCCATGCGCCCATGCCAAGGTGTCCTGCGAGTGGTCTTGCTGAGCTCCTTGAGTATTGGTCCTGGGAGCTCTACCTACCGTGCTGCCCTCAGGCATCCGGCGGCCTGCACCTGCAAGGAGTTACAAAGCCGTTTGACCGTTTGATGCCGATGTGATGACGAATTGAACTGCTAAACCGTCAAACTGTCCCTCGCCCAGGCAGAGATACAGTGAATCCTCCTGCCGCAGCGCTGGGTGTGGTGCGTAGCGCCCGAGCAGAACTTCCACAGGCCAGTGGCATTCAGGTTCTGTTTGTGCAATAAGACCAGGTTGAAGGCCATCACTACTAGGATGGCTAAAGCCTCCCAGACTCCCAGATGGCTAAAATGGGAAACATTGTATGATGTGCTCGAAACAGTTGCCGATCCTGTGGCTCGACACCGATGCTGAAGATGGCATCACCTTTCAGGACGGCCTCCACTTGAAACATAGCAATAAAGATGCACATAAAGAAAGGAAGTAAGGAAGAAAAAGCAAGAACGAAAGAATCAGGAGGTCTAAAGATCTAAAGACAAAGAACAAGAACAGGAAAAATGGAACCAGAGTTTTCTTCCAGCTTCTCTGCTGGTCCCCTCACTCTAGGAAGGCACGTCCTCCAAGGAACCCTTTTTTCCCCCCCCGCCCCAAATTCCCAAATTGCGGCACGTACAAAGAAGGAACATGCAATTTAGGAGGCTACTAGGGGCTCCTGGCCGTACTACTAGGAGCAAGAAGCTACTAGGGGCTCCTGGCATCGCTACTAGGAGCAAGGACCCTTACTACTAGGAGCAAGAGAAGGGAAGAAGGTCTGAAGGTCTGAGGAAAAAGGAAAAGATCTATGGCGAAGGAAGAGAAGAACGATGGACGATGGTGTAACTGTATGTCAAAGTAACTAGCCGTTTTTGAACACTTTGATCCTGGGAAAGGAGCAGATGATGTATGAAGTTGACTTGGCCCTTCCTCCTGGAGGTTGCAGAAGCCAGATATTATGCTGTGCAAATGCATTTGGGAAATCCAACAGTTGATCCAGGTTGAAGTAGACCTATTGAACAGTCTATGTGCATTCCTGCTGTCAATTTGCGAATTACTTGCATTTCTACTGTATTCTCTATAGTTTTTGACTTCAGCTGATGGAGGACATCCAAATCCCACTTCATTGGAGAGAGCCCAGTGCCTCATGGCCCACAACCGGGCGGGGTGGGACGCGGTGTGATGTCAGATTCTGAAGACAACGACGAAAACGGGGTTTGCTTTGTGAGTCTTTTGTTACTTGATGTAATTCAATCTTATTGATGCAAGGCTCTTGTCTTGTTTGACGCATTTTTCTTACAAATAGCATCCAACAAAAAACAGTAGAATTCTTTAACGGGGAAAATAGGTCGTTTTAGGAAGTGAGACACATTTCACCTGTGGTCAAACGCTTTGGTTTGGGAAGCTCAGTAACAAGCCCCAAAAGGTTCTTTAGTTAAGCAGTTCACAATAGCAAAGATTCATTTCAAGGCCATCGCGATTAAGTGGAGGCCATCGCTGTTAGGTGGAGGCCATAGCCAGTAGGTTTGGAGGCCATCGCTGACATTCGCAAGCACATACCACAAGCAGCTCCACATGGCAGGACGTGGTCTATCGCCAGGGTCGGAGGTGGCTGCCAAGGTCGTTCCGGCGTTCCAGTCGTCATTTGCATGTTCTTTTCATATTGCGTCTTTACTACCTGAATTACAAGGCCTGAAACTCCATCTATAAGCGTTACTGCTTGAGGCTTCAGGTCTGATTTTTCCGTGTGCAGGTTGGACCTGAGTCCAAACATGCCAGTCTACTCTGGGCGTGTCCGCCCCCCGGTTGGGAGCGCTCTTGGGGGCAGAATCAACCGTGGACAGTAGACCTCTTGCAAGGTTGTTCCACAACTCCCGCCTCATGTGACAGAAACTGGAGTGGCTCTGGTCACAGGCAAGTGCTGCGACGTTCCATGCATATTCAGAAGCGTTACAGACAGGAGGCTCAACATGCCATTTAACTGTGCTATTAGGTTGGAGGCCGCTATTAGGAGGGAGGTCGGGCAAACAACAAACATGCCACTAAACTAATCTTAAGTGTAAAGGCGGTGTGGGTGGCATTGGTTTGGCTGCGGCAGAGGCTTTGGTCCCGGTGCTTAGTGTTGGCCTGTGGAGCTATGCCCAAACCCCGTTCTTTCCACTGACCTTAAACACATTGTGAAAAAAAGCATTGGAAGGGTTTGCTGGAAGGGCCATAATTAGACCTTTCTTGACCTTTCTTTATCTTTCTGACAGTCTTTCTGACCTTTTGCATTTCTTGGCCTTTCTTTCTGTCTACCTTCAGACCTTTCTGGTTTTTGTTCTTGTTTATACTGTTTTTTTGGTTTAAAGTTTAGACCTTGAAATGCTAAGGTGGAGTTGGGCATGAAGCGATTGGTCTTGACCTCTCGTCAGGGTGTTTTGCCCAATGATCAGGGTGCGGAGCAACGAGTACAGGCCGGGCCCCGTGCATGATGGACCGCGTTTTTGGCAGATTCATTCGGAACACGTTCTTTACGCAACAAGTCTCAGGTTGGGTTTCTTGAATTGTGAAAGCATTGACATTTGTTGTCAACAAGCGACACGAGGCGCTGAAGTCTGCGGGAGCTGCCGTCTTTCTTCATGCATCTGACGTTGCAAAAGAGTCGCGATGCCTAGACTGGAGTAGTCCACACATGTCCACACATGTTTGACGGTCGGACGGGAGAAACCGCGTAAGTTAACGAAGTCTGAACTCATGCCGTTCATGCCTTTTGTTCAGATTGCTTTGCGAGCTTCATCTTAGAAAGGTCAAGCATCCGTGAGCTTTTGGAGAGTGCATGGCTTAGAACGACACCTGCGTCGAGGTTCTAGTGCTAGTCTTGCACCAGGCTCACTGTGTGTTGCTTTTCCAGCGCATCCTTTGGACCTAGGCATCCAAGACAACTACGGACCTTTGCGAATTGTAGTGCATGCCAGTGGTACTGTAGAGGACAGGTGACATGAAACATGCGGAAGCTGCATGCTTGGCTCTTCAGCATGTCTTCTTGAACGATTTGCAGAGGAGCCACCCTGGAACGTTGTAGAACAGGAATGGAAATTTATATCACGATTAGGTGATCATGAGCATGTGAGACGCTGCAGAATTCCTTTAAGTGTGGGAGTGCCCTAAGACGCACTTATTTATACGAGGTTTTGGCAACAGCTCGAATGTAAAAGGACAATCTTGTGGGAGATAGATTTTTACAGACATAGGCAGACATGTT